CCCAGCTGCGGGCCAAGGTCTCCAGCCTGTCCCACAGGATCCGCGCCGGGGGCGCGCCGCGCGCCGGGGACGCGCACGCCCTGCGCGCCGACGTGGAGGCCGTGTCCCTTGGCGTCCCCCACGACGTGGCCGAGGGTGCCCCCTACCAGGCCTATGACTTGGCCGACTACAGCAACCTCCGGGAGACTGACATTTGAGGACCCCTGAGCAAGGCAGGGGGAAAGTGACATGACTTTGTCCTAGAGGCCTCTGTGGGCAGGGACCGGGAAACTGGATAGGGTGGCAGTTTTGTGCCATTCCTCCCAGGAGCTGGGGTGGGGCTTGGGCCCGGGCTCTTCCCTGGCGGAGAGTCCTGGGTGCCCCCACCCCGACACAAAGCCTCACTTTTAGAGGGACTGGGCACGGAGGGGGCTGTGGGCGGTCCAGGACAATTACTGCCACGACCCCGCCTGCCTCTCCGCTTGGGGAGGACACGGAAGCCTGGCCTGGCTGTCCCTGTTGCCTCTGCTATGGAGAGGGAACAGGTGGGGCCCAGCCTCCCCACTGGATATGTTTGCCCCTTCCACTGCCAACTGGAGGACCCAGGGGACTTGTCGCCACCATCCACGAGCTTTGGTGGCGAAGTTGAGATCATCATACAAGCCTGGTGTATTTAACCCTGGGCTCACCTGCAAGACCCTCCACACACACCCCTACCAGGCTTGGCCTCTTCATTTCCCTCCAGAGCCTTACTGTTTACAATCTGTACATAGCCCGTGGCTGCAGTGCCCACCACGTCTCGCTGGGATCTGGAGTGGCCAAGTGGAGAGAGCTTTATTTCTCCTCTTGAGACATATTTATTGGTAAGAGTACTTCTATTTTGTCCAAACTGTGTAAGCTGCCCCCTCTTTAGCCTACAGCCCATAAAGAACTACTACCCACCCCACCCCCCACACACCCTAAAATCCTTCCAGAACTACAGGATAGAACCAGCCTCCATTTTCTCCTTTTTAGGGTTGCTGGTCTCTTTAACGGATTGCTGCTGCCTTTAGAGATGGCTAACATCGCCAGAGGACTGGGGTGGGGGTCCGTCGGCCTTCAAAATGCACATGACTCATCTTGGGACCCAAATAGCCATCACATGCACAACTGTCCACTTTGCTGGTCTCCTCAGAGGCATCTGTGATGCTCTGAAGGCCTCAAGGAGGAAGGTGGCCATCCATTAAAGGTAACATGTGACTTTACAGGAAGAGAACACTGCCCCATGGAGACAGGTGGCAGAAGGCCAACTTAGGAACTCTGCATGCTGGCTGCAAAAATGGCCAAGATTTGGCCTATGTCCAAGGGGTCTGAGGAAGTTCCGTCTTCAAACAAGTAGTATGATCCACATCCAAGCAGTGTGGGGTCAGGGCTGTGGCCCTACAGACCTTTGGGGAGAGAGAATCACTTGGGAATACGTGGTGTAAGTTATTCTGAAACAGGAAGCGGCAGCTACTGGGGTGAAGGTGGGGCAGTATTGCGAGCCAACAGTTCGATCCCTTACTGAGGTGGAGTGGGCAGTCTGAAAGGGAATTACCATATTAGACCATGCACTCCCCATTTTACAAGGTTAAAAAGACAGCCAATTCAGAGCTTAGGAGCAGATAATTTCACACTGGACATTAAGGCCTAGCCTCTATCACACACACACCGTATACAAGAAGGATACAAGTGCTGGAGACATGCCACAGACTCCCACGAGACACTCCACTTTGAAGCACATAGTCTGCCCTAAGGCTGGAGACACAGAACAGCTCTTGCTGTCTTCTCACAGTGGTGGGGAACCACAGGCTAAATCAGAGGTCAGTAGGGAACAGACCCTAGATCAAAGGATTGAGCACACAGCCCCATCCTTCATGCCAAACCTGACCTGGGGTTTGGCAAGGTCATGGAGCAGCACGGGCAGTGGCCAAGATGGTTGAGCACATAGAACGTCAACAGTGAGGCTGGGGAGGGAGCTTTCATCAGGAGGACGTAGAGCCAGTGTGCCTGGAGGCAGGAGGGGCTGGCCGCCTGCCCAGGACTTTCTGTAGGTACAATGGCCAGCAAAAGGCATCTAATGTCCCAGCCTCGGCTGCTGCTCCCTGTGCCCCTAGCTGCTGCCTCCTGTTTCCTCCACCCAAGATGCTGAGCCTTCAGGAGACCCTAGAGAGGCCATGCAAATAGCAGGGATATCCAGGGCCCTTGTTCTAACCATCAATAAAGCACTGTGCTGCTGACCCTGGTCTCTGGGTGTGGCGGGGGCATAGAATAGCTGAGGGGAAAAGTGGGAACAGCAATGCCCCCTCCCATACCACACCACCATCCCTCAAGTAGGGAATCTTCTGGAACACTTGGAAGAAGTACATTTGCCACACCATTTCCTGGGACCCCGAGGCCTGGATCCTCCCTCAGCACCCAGGCCACGGGGCTAATCAAAGATACCATCCCTGAGGTGGGCTGTCTCATCCAAAATGTGGTCACTGTCCCCAGCCAGTCCCTCTGAAGTATCACGGTGTTGGGGGAGGGCTGGAAACTCAATGCCCACAAAAGTTAGAGCTGGACTTCAAGAGGGGCAGTGAGGCCTGAGGGAGGGGGCAGTCCAGTGAGATGGTGTAGGGCAAAAGCAAGACTCCTAGGGCACTGGCCTTTGTCACATACCCCCCACACACACACACACACACACACACACATCCTTAGAAAACCTCGGTCCTCCGTCCCATCAGACCCTCGCTCCCTTCTCTCTCCTCACCTCCTCTTTTGTTTTACTCTTCCCAAGACACCCCCCCCCCATGCTCAGGATCCCCTAAAGCCGCTTTTGCAAGTTACCTGGGACCCTTCATTTCCCCTGTCCCCTCCCCTCTGTCTCCCTTCCATCTCCTGCAGGCTACCCCCTGTGCCCTGACATGTTCCTGTCCCTACTTGACCTAGCCCTTCTGATTTGCTGACTGTATGCTCAGCTCCCAGCAGCCTCCACGGGCTCCTCTCTGCCCTTAACTCTGCCCCAGCTTAACGCCTCCTCTTCTCAACTCCCCGCCCATTCTCACCCACGACCACTTGTACACAATGACTCCCAAGGGGCCTCTCTAGGCCTGGAGTGTGCATCCATGCTCCCCCGGATGACCCAATGTAAGCCCAGAGCCTGCCCCAGGCTGGCTCCATACAGCAGGATGAGCCCACTGGTACTGAGACTTCCCCTCCGGGTGACCCTGAGCCTAGCTCTGGGTCATGGCCCACACTCCATCTTCCAGAGAATGCACTACTCTTCTAAGACCTCCTCAGAGACTGCCCTGCTGAGAAGAAACCCCCAAAGTTCCTCCAGCTTTCCCCCCACCAAAAAAAAACAAGGACCTAACCTGGCACACAGATCAGCCCAGGGCGGGGGGCCAGTGCTCATCAAACATTCCAGCTGGGGAGCTGGCCCCCTGACATTTCCCCACGGACACTGGCACACAGGCACCGTCAGTTATTCTGACAGGTGGGAGACCTTCCCTTGGCCGGGTGGCACCACCCCTCGCTGGTCTCCACAATGAGGGGACCACTGGACTCCTGCAACGCGCTGCCACACCACAACCGGGTCTCTTCATCCCTCCCGGCTCCGGGCACTGGCAGGGCCTGCCTCACACCCCCTGGTGGCCTCTGGGCCCTCCTGACCCCATTTCTATTCCCATCCTGTTACACCCCTCAGGGGGTTACATGGTCACCGGCCACTTGGAAAGAATTTTCTTCTTTTATTTTTTTCTTCTTGTGGCTCCACCGAAGCACAAAACCACATGCTGGTAAAGGCTAAGCCGGTCTCGCCCCACCCTGCCCACAGGACCTCTCTGGGGGAACCCTGGGGATCGCTCGGATCCAAGCAGGTGGGCCACTGGGAAGAGGACTTCGAGTTGCTCTCAGAGGAGTTAGGCAGGCACTTCTCACCCCATCCCACCCCGCTCCACCCCTGGCCTCCCTGGTCCGCAGGGATCGCTGCCCATGACACTGGCCTTGGCTCTAAAATTGCTCTGCTCTGGGAGGAACTCAGAGGAAATTGCAGGATGCACTTGGGATCCAGGAGAAATCCAAGAACTAGGGCCACGACCCCCTGAGCCTCCGGGAGGGGTGCGCTGGAGCAGCCCAGGGACCTCAGCGCGACCTTTGTGCACATTCTCCCAGGGTTCACCGTGCACATCACTGCGTGCGTCCGCCTCCTCCTGCCCTGCGCCTCCCAAAGGAAATGCCATTGGCCGCTCAGCTTGCGGTCCCGGGTCATTCAGTCTGCGGATTGGCTGACTTTGGCTCAGACTAACAGCTGGGACCAACAGGTGGGAGGGAATAGAGTTCTGCGGTAGAAAATACAGCTGCCAGGGCCACGAGGAGTCGGGATCCACTCGATGGTCGTGGATTTGGTGAGTTTGGTGGGACATGGCATCATCTGTGGGCAGAGCAAGCGTGTGAGATGGGGCGGATCGGTATTGCCAGCTCTGGCGCCCTCTAGCGCACCGCTAAGAACGAGGCTGCAATAAGGGAACTGACAGCTTAACCCAAACCGAAGCCAAACTCACTACCTTCGAGTTGATGCCGACTCAGCGACTCTGTAGGACAGGGTGGGATTGCCCCTGTGGGTTTCTGAGACCGTAAGTCTTTACAGCGGACAGGGCCATTATTGATCTCACTTAGGACAGTTGTTTCCCTACAATTAATGCTCCATAATCAAACGTCCACATCACCACCATTCAATAAACCGCAGTTACAAGGAGGTGGTTTCTGGCATGGCCAGGCAGGGAGTCGGGCTGCTCCTTGGAATCATAAGCTCTAGGGCATTGGTTTTTGTTCTGCCCAACAAGATGATTCCACAGCCCTCGCTTTGTGAAGGCAGAAAGAAGGAGAACGGAGTGGGCCTGCTTTGCCGCTTACCAATCTATCAAAAGTTCACCAGAAGAACCGCCCCTCCCCCAGCGCAGGTCCTCCCAGGAACTACAGGTTGCAAGCTCAAAATACTCACTGCCAACGAGCAGATTATGACTCACAATGACCCTATAGGACAGGGCAGATCTGCCCTGATGAGCTTTGGAGACTGTTAACTCTTTACAGAAGTACAGAGCTCAGTCTCTCTCTCCCAGAGCACCTGGGGGTTTTGAACTGCCAGCCTTGCAGTTAACAATCCGAGGCGTAACCACTACGCCACCAGGGGCTCCTGACTGGGCTGTAAAGGAGACTGAGAAAGTAAGCTGGTGTCATTGGTTTGGAGCCCACCCACTGCCCAAACCACCGCCGTCCAGTTAAATCCGACTCATCACCACCCTATCGGCCAGGCATGAACTGCTCCCTAGGGTTTCCAAGACAGGAAGTCTTCACGGCCGCAGACAGGCGCCTCTTCCTCCCCAGGAGTGGCTGGCAGGCGTGAACCCCTGACCTTCCAGTTAGCATTGCCCCACCAAGGACCCCTATATTTCTATGTAATTAGGGAAAGATGTTGCAGATGTTTTTATTTCTCTTTGGTGGACTGCTGTATCCCCACATACTGGACACATGAACGATCACCCAAAACATTGTTCAGCCACCGCCACCTGGGCACATGTTGCTGGCCATCATATTCCACAACACATAACAACGCTATGAAATGTACTATACAATCGCCTCGATTTGGGCTCTTGGCCCACAGGCCTAACAGATGTCTGCTCTGGCCCTTCTGGGAGAAACTCTTCTTTTAGAACCATGGAGGCCCATTGAGTGGGGCCCACTGCTCTTCTGAATCCAATGAGGAGCCAGCAGAAAGCAGCAGCAGGGAACTGATGGCAGGCAGGCCGCTCTCGAGGTCTGTTACGAATGCCACGCAACCTCTTTGAAGCCTGCATCGTTACCTCACTGCAAGCTTCTGACACAGCGTTGCCGTCTAGTCAGTGAGCTCACACAGAAGTTATTCTGGAAGCCTTTAGACGGTTTCCCAGGGTGACCAAGCGGTGTGCAGGGTTTTGAAAGGTTCCAAACCCACCCATTGTCACCAAGTTGAATCTGACTCATAGCAACACATAGGATCAAGTTGAACTGCCCCAGAGGTGGGGTTCCCAGGTTGTAAACCTTTAAAGAAGGAGGTTGTCACCAGGGTTCCTCCAAGTGGCTTGAATGGTAGTCTGGTGGAAGAAGAGTGCCAAGCAGCTCTGAACAAAGCTCAAAACGAAGCTCCCTCTCATTGACTGAGACCTGGGCAGCGGGGAGAAGACCCTCCCTTCATTGAGCAGAACATCAGGAAAAGCATGCCCGCTGAACCTCCTCCTGCTCATTAGGCTTGGGTCAAGACATGCAATGCATCTCCGGGAACCCACGCCCCTTGGCCCACTCCTACAAGGTCCTCCTGCTGGGACTGAACCCCCCTTGTGTCCTGGGTGACCTCCCAGTCTCTAGACCCACTGCTTGCTCTGTCCTCGGTGCCAGAAACATCCATGGTGGGTCCTCTTGCATGGGGCAACTTCCCCAGAAAAAGGTATTCGGCCCAGCCTTGTCACAATAAAGCTGCCTAACAAAGCCCCGCTAACTTCACTGGTTACATCAACACACAGTTCTTTCTCTTGCTTGTCTGTTTGTCTCCAGGAGTCCCAGGGACGTCATGGTACATGGCAGACTGCTAACTGAAAAGTCAGCAGTCCGAAACCACCGGCCGCTCCTCGGGAACAAGACAGGGCTCTCTACTCCTGTAAAGAGTTACAGTCTTGGAAACTCACAGGGGCAGTTCTACCCTGTCTTGTAGGGCCACTCTGTGCTCTGGCATCGACTCGATGGCAGTGAGTGTTTGTCTGGGCTCCGATCTATTCTGCTGTCCTATACATGGCCCTGGAACTGCCAGTTATCTGGGACATGTTCATCTCGTGACTCGTGGCAAGCACATCGAAGCCCAACCCCAACTCTGCCAGCATATTTCAGCCCTCTGCTCACATCATCCCTTGTCTGTTCACATTCAAAACTGAAAGGCAGGCCCCTAGTCAGCCCACTGTCGATTCCAACTCACAGGGACCCCAGAGCACAGGGCAGAGCTGGCTCACAGGGATTCCAAGGCTGGAATCTCTACGGAAACTGACTGCCTCATCTTTCTTCCCCAGAGAGGCTGTGGGTTGGAACCACCAATGCTTGGGTTGCCAAGCACTTACCCAAGATGCCACTGGGCCTCCTTTCCCTAAATGTCAGTATAATCAGCAGAGGGAAGACTCTTAGATATTAAAAAAGACTTAGGAGACATAGCCAGGGAGGCTATGGAAGTCTTCCT